AAAGCAAAGGGACAAAACAAAAGACCATGAATTCGGGAGAAGAAAACAGGAATGTAGCCAAGAACTGAGGGACAAGCAGACTTGCTCAGCAGTGCTGAGGAAGAAAAGGATTAGGCCTAAATTCAGAGGCTAATGTAGATTCAGCAGGATGGGTACAGCAAAGCCAGCAGGAACTGGTCACCTACAGCATCAAAGCTCAGAGGAGGAAGCAGAGTAAGCGGCAGGGAGAAGGCAGGGAGGAATAGACTTCACCCCGAGGGCGAGATCTGGCACATCCCACATCTTCTACACATTTCTCCCTCGCTCAAAACATTCTATTTGTTTGTTTTCCAGTGCTGTTTGTAGTCCCAATCAAATCAAAGCATTTACTAAGAGGGTCTAACAAGGCTGTTTTGGTGATCATTCCAGTTGTGCCACAGCAAAATCCTGTGAAATTCAACCCTGCCTATAAAAATTCAGGAAAGGGATGTTCCAGTATCCCACAAGATTCATGAGAGACAAATCTCAGTAGGGCCAGTTTGAAAACTCCCACTTTTCCTTCTAGATTACAGTATTTATGGCCAAAAGGCACCACCTAAGAACGGAAAGGATTTCTGAAATACAACTGTGTTTGTAGGGAGGGATGCAGAAAACAAATTGTAGAAAATCAGGGGGAGGAAAGCCAAAATAAGCATTATAAAATGTAAATATTACTTCATCCAAAGCACAGTTCAGCAGAGTGGCTTGTTCATATTTTTGTATAACTATTTACTATACAACAACTTTTTAAAAGGAGAAGTTCCCTAAACAGAATGTTCTATTTTTCTTGACACAGTAGATAAAGGCATATGAAAATAGAAAATCTTCCAATATTGAGCTTCAAACCCAAAACCTGCCACTGAAAATGTCAAAGTCCATCAACCAAGAGTGACAGAAGTGACCTGCTTTCACCCTGCCACATTTGGACACACATGCTGACCTCAGTTTTGTTTTGAAACCATTCTCTACCCAAATTAAATTTTGAGTTCATGATAGAAGAAAAGACAGGTGGGAATTGTTTCTAACACTTTTCGCAACATTTAAAAACACACTTTGAGACTTAGAATGTTTTATACGATTTTTCTTTTCCTTTGGCCAGCAAAAATGTTCTGTAATGTGAGAAAACGGGACCTAACCAGACTGCAAATTATAGACAGGGACAGCCATGCACAGACTGCATGTGCAGGGCTGGAACTGCTGCCTGCAGATCATCCACACCCCACTGGAAAGGTTTAATGGAGGGATAACACTCACTAATACCTCTCTCATCCAGCAAATCTCTACATCCACTTACCAAAACGTTTAGCATCTATTCCACAGAAAAAGAAGTGTGCAAGTACCACTACCAGCTCAGCTGCAAATACATCAATCAACTACCATGTATTGCTGGGACAGTTTCCCAGCCAGCAAAGCAATAAAAAACAACATTAGGGTCTCCTTCTGAAAATCACCATAAATTAGCTGAAGAGCAGTGATATGCCAAGGTAACTACTGCAGATCCTGATCTTGGAGTTAGGAATTTTGAGAATAATTCCTTAGGCCCACAGGTTTCTTCTGAAGCTCAAGGCAAAACCAAAATTCAAGAGTCCCGCCCACAAAACCCTTCTCTGTGTTTGCATAAAGCTTGCACACAAGGTGGGGGCTATCTCTTGGGACTTTTTTTATTTACATACATGTACTTTTACATCACACTTATTGCCTGTTCACTTTCATTTCAGATGACCAAACTGAAATAACTTTATTAATTAGCATTAATGATTTTCCTGACCCAGATTTTTAAAAGTCAAAATTTATGGTGAATATTAAACAGGGAGGATATAACTGGCTAACTTCTAACACACTCCTTATTCTTTTCATCCCATTTTTAGGCCACAGTTCCTCCTCCTTTCACTCCTCTCCTATTATTACTTAGTTCACTCTAGATCAGCCTCCACAGTAACCATTATCTAATGTACCCATTAGACACATTTACATTTTTCATATATATATATATATATTAGATAATGCAATGTATTTTACATCTGATATATTGAAAAGGTAAAAATACACCATTTAAAATAGTCAGGCCAGCCAACACTTTCTGAGGTCTTTCATTTCCACTTCTCAATTTCCTCCTGGTACTGTTTCTGAGCTCTTTAGGGAACTACCAGTGACTAGTTCTGCATCACAGACTGCTACTGAAATGAGTGTTATAGATCAAACCCCTGGGCATCACTGCCCTGCATGGTTTAATTTTGTCTCTGGAGTTTGTGGGAACACTTAATAAGCATCAGCACCCTATTTCCACAGCAGCCACAGACCAAACTTTCAGATCAGGCACAGACTAAAATTGAACTGAAGGACAGCAGAAAACATCCAAGGATGTTTTTGTGCCATACAGCAAAGAACCTCATTCATTTCAAGTAATTAATTGGTCAGTTCCAGTGCTAGAAACAGCTGATTTTTAACAATAGTTGATGCTTTCACAGCTTAGACATATCCATCCTCTACCTGTTGGCTGCCATCAATTAAAATACCGTATAGCTGGCTTTAGCTTCCACAGGATTTGCTGCTTTTAGTATGGCAAAAATTGTACCACAATTTGTGTGTGCAGTAGCAGATATTATTCCCATACAGAATTGATATACAAGTGAAGAGACCCAAGGGCATTTTCTGTGCTCTTGTCACCACCCAGTGAAGCTAGAGCAGGACAAGGGACAGGTGATCTGAGCCCACCACACCTGCACCCTTGCATGAGGGCAAGCTCAACCCCAACTCTCTTCAAAGGTCCTACAGTTTTACAGCTTTGGTTTTGGAGGGGGATTGCAAACTGGGGAGGGAACAGCCTGATTTGGATTTTGGGCTTTTTTTGTTTGGCTTTGTTATGAGTCAGCTTAACAAAAGTTTGAAATTTGAATACCTCCCAGAGAAGCCTGATCAAAATACTGTAACAAGCAAGATAAACATACTGGAAATACACCAATCATCACAAATTGCATCATGCTTTGTTAAGGCACTCATATAGAAATTATTTTGGTGTCTTTTTTTTTTTTTTTTTGTTCTTTCATTATTAGTATTATTCAATATTACGGTTCTTTCCAGGAAACTTCTGAAAAAATACCTGAGTTTTACATCAACACATGTATCAAGACCTCTACCACTGGAACCTGTCACACAGCAGCATAGCTGGAAATCACCAAACATAAATCTGAAATACATTACAAGGCTATATTGACTCTTTATTTTTTAATCCAACATAAACTGGGCAACATTTGGCCTCCAAATTTCTGGTCATACCAACACCATATTTAAAGACTCAGGTCAAAGTTGAGGAAAGGACAAAAAATGGAAAGAAGGCTTCCTGCAAGTCTTCATTTCAGGAGATAAATTTAAGACTGAGAAAGCTTTCGACTAAGTACCTATTGTACTATTCCCATTCCAACCTGCCTGTGTTTGGCCAGGAAGCACAAATGTTTCTGCAGCCAGTGTTATAAAAAGCATTTCAACCTACTATGACTTGCAAAACTAACAGCAACTCAGCTGCTAGGGAGCATGATGGAAATAAAAAAGGATGTTGAATATTTAAGTGACGCTGCAAATTTCTTGTTCTTGTATTAAAACCTCAAGGTTACCAAACCCCATTATCATTCAGCTTGGTCTAGGAATTGTCTTCCTCTCTGAAGAGTCACAAGATAGTTTTCTCCAGCTTTCACACACTACAGCAGGAATTAACCTAGAAATTAGTAAACCCTCAATGCAAAATCCTGCAGATTAAAAACTGACAGACTGGCTTCTGGCAGTGGTGGTGCCCACAATTCTTCTGTAAGAGGCACACAGAACAGCTGTATGAGCTACAACCTCACTCCCCTTAGGGACCAGTTGGCTTTACCCTCTACCTCTCTACTTTCCCTTTCAAGCACGTATTTGAAATAGAAGCAGGTTATTGACATTGTTTCTAATGCTTGACCTGCATCAGCTGCGTGCACCTGAGCCCTATAGTGTGTGCCAGGCTATGTCAATATTTGTGCTTTTTCTAACTAATAATTAACTCTGACTACATTAACTAGATAACTGCTAATATTGCCATTAAAGCATATAGTAATTCCATTAAGCACCATACTGGGGTTATGTCATACAGAATGAGCTGAAATACAAACCTGCAACCATACATCTACAAAAAACAGGAATACTCAGAGGTATGAAAATCTCAAATACTGGGAAAGTATTTTTAAATAAGCCCCTGCTTAAAGAAAATAGTCCCGGCTTTTTTTCTTACTGCTTGCAGAAGCAGGTCTTATATTTTGTACTGCTTTCTAATAAATCCACTTTTTAGAAGAGGCCATTGGGTAAATCCTGTTCCAAAGGGGCACAAGACACTCAAGACTTGAGGAAAGTACTCATTCAGCTGGAGCCCAACATTTCCAGAAGTAAAACACGTACATCACAGAAGCTCTTAAGGCTGTAGAGAAGCTTAATCTTTTTTGTTTTGTCTTTAAGGTTCCATGCAATTTTCCCCTTCCTCAAGCTAACCACAGAAACTGTAATGCTCTATTTTTGATAATTAAACTATTTCAATGCCAAGTCACGATAGCTCCTAAAAAACAGCTCTCTTTACCAGAGCTCCACTTTAATGCTCACTTTAAATAAACTTACAGACTCCTCAATACTCTAAAAGCTAGATGAAGTTTCTCCAATATGCTAAATATATGACTTTTTAAAACAAGTTGAGAAAAGCAAGAAACTCTCACAAAGTAAGACTTGCATGCTAGACACACAAACCAGAAATAATCCATTTACTCCCCCTCGACCTTTCTTGGCTAGACTAACTCAATTAGTATCCTTAAACCACCAGACACTTGCCAAGATAACATATTTGTGTTTAATCATTCAAAAAGTGAAATATTATGTACTGTAATGTAACACTTTTTACGGAAACCTCCAGTTGAGCAACAGTTCCAGAAAAAATTGTGAAATGAAGTAAAAAGTTGCCCAGAACACCATACTTCCACTCAGTTAATTCAAAAGAATTAAGTTTCAGAACCAGGCAGAAAGTCAAGACCTCATTTTTAGCAAAGTAGAAGCGGCACATTTTTAAACGCAGCCTGTTTGGAATAACTTCGGAATAGCAACCATCACTGGGAAGTTATTGAATACCATCATCCCCTGGCCAGCAACTTGTGCCACACGCAGACCTCATGACAGAGCGACGACAAAAATGCCAGGGCTAATTTCTACAGCGCGTTGCATCAATCCAGGTATAGGGTAACCCAGGCTGCCGAAGGGAAAGTCGGGACAGAAACACGCACCGTGGGGCCGAGCACCGCCGGGCAATTCCGGCTGACGCAGCGGTGCTGCGCGGAAAACCCGCACATGGCTCCGGGGACACGCACACACACGCGGACCGGGGGAACGCGCACGTTCGGGGTTTGGGCACCGCACAGGCTCGGGGTTTGGGCACCGCACCGGCACACGCGGATTCGGGGGCACGCACACACACACACACAGGGATTCGGGGAACGCGCACACACACGCGGATTCGGGGACACGCACACACCCCGGCCCGCCGGCGTGCAGCCCGTACAACATGGCAGGTCGGCGGCGAGGGCTCGGCCGGCCCCGCGGCCCCGCCGCCCGGGGAGCCCCTCAGGCCCGGCGGGGTCTGGCGGGAGTCTCGAGCCGGCGGGCACAAGGAGAAAGTTTTCCCCCCTCCCACCGCGGCCCAGCGGAAAGTTACCGCCGCCCCCGCGCCGCCTCAGCCCCCGGCCCGCCAGCGCCGGCCTCCCCGCCCCCGCTGACAGCCCCGCGCCCCTTCCCCGCCGGCCCCGGAACGCGGCAGCGCCCGACCCGCGGCATCGCCTCGGAGAACCCCCCAGCCCGCGCCCCGCGGCGGTGACAGCCCCGCCGCGCTCACCTCAGGCGGGTGCCGCGCTCCCCGGGGCGAGGAGCGGGTGGTGAAGGGGTTCGGGGGGCAGCGCGCTCGGTGCCCGCGCCCTTATCTCATCCCAGCGGAGCCCGGCTCGCCCCCGCCGCCTCCCGCCGTGTGGGCGGCTCAGGCGGGATCCCCCCTCCCCTCCGCCGCCATCTTGGCTGTCACGGGGCGGGGGAGGCGGGCTGCGACCCGTGATCGCGGCGGGGCGGGCGCGGGACGGCACCCGCCGGGTCCCGCGGCTCCTGAGGGGGAGGCGGCCGTGCCCCGCCGCCCACCGGGTCCCTTCGGAACGCTCCCCCTCACGGAACGCGGCCCCGCCGCTCCCGCCTTCCCCCTCACGGAACGCGGCCCCGCCGCTCCCGCCTTCCCCCTCACGGAACGCGGCGCCGGCTGCTCCGAGCCATGACGGGGGGAGCGGGGCTCCCTAAGCGAAAGCGCCTAAAACACAGCGCGCAGAGCACGGGCTCGACTGTGCCTCCCCACCACCTCAGCCTTTTAATCCAGGCAGCATCTTTAATTTAAACAGAAATTAATCTCCGGCCCAGATAGGCCGGGATTTGGCTCACCTGCGGCGCCCGTCGCCTGGACCCGGAGGAGGTGCCGGCTGTCTGGAAAACAAGGGATGAGAAAAGCGAGGGATTTTCTGCAGGCTTGATGTAACCCGCAGCAGGCTGTTGCATCAAAGACTAGAAAAAGAACCCGGGACAAAAATAATCTTTTAAGAGCGTGCAGCTAAGATTAGTGCAGCGTGTCAAGATGTTGCTGAGCGCAACAGAACGAATCCTGCCTGTACCCACACAGAAATAAATACTATTTTTCTGGCACCTTGTCCATTGCAACCCTGAGTTTCCAAATTTTATACCAAAGTGCTGATTAGGGATAGGTTCCAACCATACAATTTTGAGTTTGAATTCAGTCTTACCTCAGTTCTGGATGCTTGGCTTAGGGGTTTAGATGTGGCTCGTTATAAAAGACATAAAATTCATATGAAGTTCTGAATTTGTAAATACTGTGAATTTATCAAAACTGAACTGTAAATACTCAGATATGTTCAGACCTACTCTCTTGGTTTACCTCATCCCTCTGAAAATCTGACCAAATAGAACACAAAAGCCAAAAAGTATAAAATAACATTGGTTTCCTCCACATTAATTAAATTGTTTATAGCAGAAATGCTGCTCCTCGTACCCCCCACGTAGGAAATGTGGTTGACACAAGTCGGTGTCTACCTGGGCAGGAGCACCCATGTGCAAGCCTACACATGCAGGACAGCATGATATTTAGGAGCTAAGTCTGTCTTGTTTTTTTCTCAACAGACAGCAAACCGAGTAAGGAATGTGTCAGGGACTACGAGAACGTTCCCATTCCTTGTGTTTCTATGTGAAATGCATTTCTAGCCACACCCAGAAAGAACTTGTCTCTCCAGACACTACGCAGTGGGGTAAGTGAGAGACCGAGAACCTAGAATGTCACTATTCACTACAGCAAGATGCTCTGTGTTCAGCAGCGTGTCCTTAAATTATTTGGTGTGCTGGTAGAGACTTTTCTAAATCAATTTCCGATATATTTCAGTCCTGGAAATGCTTTTCAAATAAATAGCAATACTGAACTCCATCTTCTGGCTAGTGCTAGTAATTTTTGATATGCAAACTGTTCTGTGCTCTCTGCTCTTGCTCATTTTTTAGGTAGGCATAAATTTTAGGCTTCAGCGTTAACATCCAAGATTAATGGGTCTGTTCCTACATCTGAGAGTATTGTTACAGCTGCCTGTATACTGAGCAAAATCCCTGCACTGATGTATGAATAGCTCACTTTGCAGGGTTTAAGTTCATAACCATTAAAATACCCTGGACTATTTCTAATGGAAACTCATTTTGGAGAAATAGAATTCTTAAATATTCTCTGGCAGTTTTCATACTTTTCAGCTCTTTTATGAGTAAAACGTTGTGTAGATGTCTTTGTTTTGCTGTCAATTTGTTTGCCTCCCCCATTTCTGTCCTTCTAGGACTATCTGCATTTAATTACACATTGTGTCAATGTCAACAAATTGTGGTCAGGGACGGGGTTCTCTCTCTGCAAGGCCTGATACAAACACCAAAGCAGTTTCTGCCCCATACTGCTATCACATCTAACAGTGCTTATCTCTGTCCTGTCTTTCTTGTTCTTACATCTCCCCCTCCTTCCCACCCTGTTCCATCAAACCTCTGCTGCATTCTCTCCCTGACCTACCTGCTGCTCATGCTCTTGGCTGTGGCACACTTTCTTCCCCACCAGCACATTTAATTGCAATGTTCCATTTCATTATTAGCTTGTCACCACCTTTATCAAGTCACCTTTCCTAACAAATCTCACTGAGAAGCTTTCCTGCGTAGCTCGTCATCAATTTTCCACTTTAAGGCTCTTCTAAAGCCACGTGCAAAAGGGCCTATGAAAAATTGTGACTGTAGTTCTGTATTTATTTGTGAATAAAGAGCAGCATCAGTGAATAGTGCTACTGTACAGGCAGAGACAGATTTACTGTGTGCCCAGCTCCTGCCAGGCTCATTGCACAGAGATCTGTCTATGTGTCAGTCAGACAAAGCCTTTCCCTTCCCAGGGATTTTCAGGATCTCTGAGCAAGCATCTCTACTTGCACATGAAGACCCGAGCCCAAGACCATTAAGTCACTGAAGTCTACTTATTAATTCCAGTCAGTGTTGGATCAGATTCTTGTTGTGCATAGTAAGCTAATTACCCAAGTTAACAACTGCATGTAGTGCAGGTGGGCAGGCACCAAGCACGCTTCATGTGGGATTCTGCTGCCTCTCAAGTGCAGGGTGGAGCCCTGGCAGCCAGATTTAGCCTCCCCCGTAGTGCAGCCAGAGAGACACGCAGGCTTTCTATGGACCAGCAACCACAGAACGATTTTTTTCCATGTTACAACCCCAAATTTCTAGCTTGTGGCACTGAAGTAATTTTCAAAGTCTGATTTAGATTATTTTAAGTGCATTTTACACATGGGTAAACTCAAGCAAGGCAGAGGACAAGTGGCAGATGGTCAGTGACAGAGCCAGGAATAGAATGGAGAACTCTGCTGTCCCAGGACATGATTTTAAGAGACTTGTCCCAGGATTGTGGGTTTGATGATTTATAATTCATGGGGCTTCAGAAGCGCTTAAAAAAACATGCAGCTATCACTATTCCCAGTTTTTCCTGGCAGAGACTGGCTTCCATAAGCAAACCAATTTTAGTTCAGTTTCTTAAGTGTGCAGTTTAGGACTTAATCTGTTCACTTTCTCACCAGTTTTATGCCTTTTGAACTCACTTGGCTGTGCTGTGTGCACTGCTCATTTACCTCTACAGGGGAAGGATGAACCTCCAAGAGAACCCAACAGAATACCTTTCAAACAGACCTATCAGTAACCTTGGTAAAAATAACTATGGAGATAATGATAATGGATAATTATAAACTCCATAACTGGCAAAACAAGACTCTGCATTTCAGAAGATGAATTGCCTTACCCTGTCCAGTAACCCACTTTACAGTGCAGTAATGGATCTGCATCCGGAGGGTTATGCAATGAAATGGAGCCTTTGGCAAGCTGGAATCACACTGGAAATGAAGCCACATCTTCATGGGTTTTTTCATACAGGCGTATTTGTAAATCTGGGACTTATCCCTTTTGACATAAAGAGACCATCCCAGCTTGGAATGATTAAATTCTAGGACAGATTATGAAATAATAAAGCATTTAAATATTATGGTGCAGCAGCACAACAGTGCAGTCACCCTTCCTTTTACTGATTCAAGTACAGTATCTCTGAAAAGCTTTTTGCACTCCAGAGAAACTACCGACTATGCATTATAAAACAGGAAATAGAATATCATATATGTATATTAAAAATATATCTATTTTTCAGACCTTTCTTTAGGTAATTACTGAAGCAGCTGAAAATATGGGGAAATGAAGCAAATACAGGCCCTGATCCAAAAGCCACTGAACTCAGCAGAAGCACTGGAGTCATGTGTCATGAATTACAATTCACAAATGCAAATAAAGAATGTTACTGTATATGTGTATGGATAAAGTCTAATTGTCTAGTTGCAGTATCTAGGCATTCCACTTGCATAAAACGAGGAGATTTTTTTTTCTCCAGCAGGTAGAGAGAGTTTCTCAGCAGGCATGTATTGCCAATATTTATGGGAGAGTTTGTGGTCCCAAAAGAACAGAAATACTGGGAAACAGAAAGGAAAGAAAATGTACCCGAGGAGGAGATCCAGCTGCTTCCAAGTCATTTCTATAAATAAAAATCTGATGCAAACTCATTATAATTTCCCTTTCCAGCACCGATTTGCTTCCTCAAGATTTCAGAGTGCGCATCTGAGGACTTAGGCTGCGCGTCGTAAAGTTTCCATCGGCAACTGCTAAAATTATTCACAAGGCACTGCAGCATGGCAGCAGCTATCAGCTTTGGAAGGGTAAGAGAGGCAGGGGATGGCCTTTGGTGTTAGTCAGGGATAAACCAGTGAAGATGTGCTTGGCTGTGTTGCTGAGGGTTGGGGTGTCAAGCCAGCCATGCCATCCGTACCTCTCGTCCTGTCGTTAGCCGGCAATCAGCGTGTACAGCTGGAGCACATTTCTGGACACTGGAAGCTCCCAGGCAAATATTTGCAGTCCATTTTGTGAGCACGGGACAGCAGAAGGGTTGCTTGAGGATGGCCCAAATCCTAATGCATCTATCAAAGCCAGCTTGCTGTCTGTGCCAGCACTAACCTGGTTTAAGTATTGCTGTCATCAGTAATGCCAGATAACAAAAGCTGCTCTTTGTGGAGTAATATCAGGAAGGAAATTGTGCATGCAGATTCGCCAGCAAAAATAACAGTCTGGGGCTGTAAATGTACACACTGATACTGCTGGTTTGTTGCTATTTTCAGCAGCTCCTGTTCCCTCAGGGGTGAGAGGACTTAACTGCTATCCCTGCTGTTCATGCATCAGCCTTAAAGGTTCCATGTGGATGCCTGCTCTTTGGCCCATCTGGGGGTGATTTCTGCAAATAGCAGTTTTCCTCTGAATCAGTATTCAATTCATCACCAGAGCCACACCACATAATACTTTGGGGCCATAGAAAACCACTTTCCTTCACTAGAGATCTCTAGTGAAGAGTTCTTTAATATTTGTACTTTATATTCACCTTTGAATCATGCCCAGGCCAAGCAATTATATCCCATGTAGCTAAATCTTCCCCACAGTTTTGCCTGATGGGGATACTTCAGGTTCTAAACTCCTGTGTAGTCCTGCTGTTTAAAGTTTTTGTATTTTGTTCTAGAGATTGCTTATATCATGGTGGGTGAAGTATATCTATCACTTAACCACTTCTCAGGAGTACTATTAAGCTTAATTAATGTTTGTAGAACACTACTGAGATTCTCAAGAGAAGCAGCTATAGAAGTGCAAAGGATCATAATTAATTTAAGAATTAATTTTTTCAGTAAATGGCTAACAACACTTAAGCTGAGATTTTCCAAGTAAAACTCATTTCTTTGATTTTTAGACAAAATCATTCTGAAGTCTTGTTTCCATTTACTACTACCACTGTATGATGTATTTTGATTTTTATTATCCTTCAATATCCTTTGATATATCCAGGCACACAGTACACCTTGTTTTAGTTCAGGAAATACTGCCCAACATATGTAAGTCAAGTTAAAATAAAACTAATAAAGTAACTAAGTCAATAAAGTCAGACAATCCCCAGCACCATTTGCCTTTAGTATAATAAGTGTTTGAACCATAAAGCCTGTAATTAATATTATGGAATAATTTCTATATTTATTTATAAGGCATCTCATTTACATAAATAATCATTATCTGGAAATAAAACCAGATCATTAAAATTCTGAAAACTGATTGAGATCAGTCAAGGTGTACCAAAGAGATTTGCTAAACTCCCTGTTTGAAACAGTTCTGAGACAAAAATCTCTTCTCCCAAACAAGCTGAAACAGGACTCTGCTGTGGGAATGCAGGCAGTGCTTCATGCACTGACATCATCAAACAGAACAGTTATTTTGTACGGTGAGAAAACATTGGGTCACTCTTCTCACTAACTGTCATGGAGAGTTTCCAAGGAACTGCATCTGACACATCTGCACTGAAAATCTGACCCAGATTGTAGCTGAAGCTCTCCTAACACAGATTTCTGCTTTTCTGAGATTCTACAGCTCTCAAAATGCTTTTCAAAATATTAATTTCTTTCAAAATACTTTTAATGCTTACACTATCTTCAATACTTTCAAAGTTTCTCATCTAGTCAGAGAACACTTCATGTAGGAAAAAAGAGAAGAAATGGCACTCTTGTGTTTCTGTTTGCAAGCTGGATTGACCACTCCTCAGTTATTAGCTAGAGAGTCACAGGTATTAAAATGAATGTCCTGCTTGTAACAAAGAATGCATCTCTGGTCCTGCTGTCAGTGCTTTTGCCTTTCAAGGTCCAGAGTGCTCTCTATTCGATTTTTTTTCTAGATAGAAATAAACTCACCATTTTTTTGAAAAGTTACAACGACAGAACATATTTTTAAAAATTTGCAATTGCCCTGAAAAGTCAGACTTGAGTCTGACCTTTTTCAGTGTGAGATACATCTTTGAAGTGTAAGTGCAAGCCCAGAGTAAGGCAATACACCAGGACCTACCCTGTTTGGATTATTTCCTTGCTAATTCCTAGAGAATGGAAGTTGGCTCGAGAACTGAGTCATGAGGATTTCATCTCAATACAGATATTTTTAGTATCTGTTATTTTATCTTGGGTACTTTTTAAATCTGTATCACTGCCCAACTCCTCTCCTAATTATCTGAAATTCTTTTCTTCTGTAACAGCTTTGGAATGTGCCCTTCTATTATTACAAATACTGGCTGCATCAGATTGGGTCCTAACTGCTCATCCATCGATTGGGTTAGGTAAGAGTACCCTTGTTTAAAGCCTCAGCAACTGCTGAGAAACCAGCAAAACAGAGGAACAACATTAAATCTCATGGTGAGTCACTGTGAATGTAGGTCAGCCCAGGCTCTGCCCTTTGCTGAGCTCTCAGAGCGTTGGCTCCAGGTTACCTGAAGGAGCCCCAGCCCCAACAGACCTCCCCCACAAAAAAAAAATAAAATTATGTTTGTGTTCCTTTGCCATACAGCACTGCCGCTTCCATGGGGGAGTTTAGAGCAGATGAACACTTTTTTAGCAACTGAGCCACAACCAAGAGCTGAGAAAGGATAGGAGAGAACACACAAACCAAATCACCTTGCAAGTAGAATACACAACCTGTTTGTTTAACCCAATTTGTGCCAGATAACATTATAGATCCACTCAATCTCAGCCACTTGAGTCTCACAATCAATGTTCTGAGAGCAGAACGGGGGGGGTGATGTATCTGCTCTGATTCATACCTGGAGGACACCCTCTCCTGTAACAGTCAGGGGTTCTACATAATGAGGTAGGCAGAGAACTGTGAATTGATTATTAATTAAGCTGCTTGATCACCTCCTTGGAAAATGTATGACCAAATGTTGATGCACAGAAAGTAATTTACATAATCAAGTTTGAATTTGACTCAAAATACAGTACAAAACTACCTTAATAAATGGAAATTTAAAAAAAATCACACTCTGACTCTTGATGCAAAAAAAAAAAGAGTACTTCCAGTGCAAATAATGAGATGGGAGGAAATGTCCTTGGCAAGTCAATTTGTTCCATGCTGCTGATGGTTCCTGTTAGTGACAAGGATTTTTTTTTCAAGAAGGAAACAATGGAAAACAAATGCAAAAGCATTTACCAGAAGGCCAGGCAATGGCAGCTTTTCCAAAATGTCAAGTGTGCAGAATAGAGTCAATTTAAAAGAGAATTAATTATTTAAACTGAATTAATGTGGCTACAATGAAGCCCTGTTAAACCATCTCATCCATCCTGCTTCCAACTGTGCTACCCCTTACAGTCTAAGTCTAAATACTGTGACCTCAATTTTCAAGCACTTCAAATAAAAACTCTCTTACCCAGTCATAGTACCAATATATTGCTTTTTTAATATATTTACTGCATCTCTATCAGGAACTCACCCACAGAATTGTGCTCACCTTCTCCACATTCCTAACTCATACAAATTTGACCTCTGGGCCCCTTTTTTCCCCTCTTTTCCTCTTTCATCTTCATACTTCTTGTGTTTTCCCAGATGCTTCCGGCAACTTCTATCACTGCATTCTTCAGATCATCCTTTGCCTGCAAGTCTGCCCTTTGCATACAGTTCTGGTATCTTAATTTCAATAATTTTTCTCTTTTGTTTCATGCATTATCTTGTCCTTGCATGCCTTTGGGGACAGGAAGGTGACTGAATTTTAGGTCTCTAGCTTTCATATGGAAGCTCATTTTCTCAAAGAATGTCCACACTTACTTCCCTGGGAGCCTACTGTTCCAAAGGCCTTCAGTTCCTCCTGGACTATGGGCCACAATGTTGCAGTACACTGAATATCACCCCTAGAAGGGATGCTCTATGCCCACTCTTTGCATTTTCCAGGTCAACACAAATTTGCAATGCAACCAACAATCTAAAGGTGCAATAATGGTTACCTAGTGCTCTTTTTCCTGGATAATGTTGCATGAAATATGGCAAACACCAACAGAGCCACCGTTCCTCTTTTGTATCCCACAGGAATATCTATAACCATGTCTACCAGTGATAAGTCAAAACTGTCACTTTTGGTTTCCAGTTTCAATATGGGCAAAGGAACCATTCCAAATCCAAACTTTTCTGCTACCCTTTAAAGCAAAACATCTGGGCTAGAATTTACATAAAATAAATTCCTTTATTTCTTCTATTTCATGGAGGAAAAGAACTCCTATCTAATAAGTAATGAACTTAATTGCCCTAGGTCTTGACTGTATTGGGAATGCATATTAATTTAAATGCATCAGTGTAAAAATCAGTCTCATTAAACTATCTCAAAGCCCTAGAATAGATGGAGCACTGCATTAACACTTGCATGTAGTCATTCATATTAAAGTTATAATTTACAA